GGCTAAAAATGGGTATATAAATCAATCTCCAAATTTTACCCAAACTAACTACATAAATAGGTAGAGCATGATGAGGGGATGAATTTCCATACCTCACTCGACGGGTTTGGCAGTCGGAATAGCCGAAAAAATGCTATAACACAGCTAGAAAACCTAACCCTTTCTCAGCTTCAATTCAAGCTCACCGGCAACGAATCGGATTGGGTTTTGGGTGGGTTTTGTCGAGGAAGACAAGAAGAACATTTTTCGTGCAGGTGGCATGGCTAACCGGTGCATAAGGACAGCGATTGGTGACCAGGAAGTCGAACAGTCACTGTATGCTACAGTGACTGTTGTCAATGTACAAAGGAGAGAGTGTCGGGGAGAGAAGAATATAAATAGGAGAGGCCCGGTTACTATAGCAATCGGTACTGTAGCAATATATCCTTACTGACTACAGGGATGATTCTCTTGAGACCGTCAAAAGAAATGAAATCCGATGAAGTGAATATCAATTCTGAGTTGCTGGTCATATGTAATGCTTATGTATTTTTTCATTTATATATATTTTTTCCGTTAATCAACTCTTGTTCAAAATTTCTACTTTCAGTATGGTTTGTCGCTAATAATAGTCTCGTACAAGGATTTGTATGGATGGACCATGGATGAAGTAGTTAAGATGATTGGTCTCAAGAATAATTGCACCTTCTATGGTGTTTTTCGTCGTCAGCAATTAAAGCTACTAAAACTATTCACACAGCCTTGTTTTCCATAACATCTATAATTTATAAATTCTATCATAGATTAGCTTTCTGTCTCATTAAGCATGCAAGGCATGGACAAAGTTTATTGGTTGTGAGAGATTATATGAATTATTCCACTTAATGGATTTATTTTGTAGATTGAGTAGATGCACTTCAATTGTCACTGGTGAAGATGGGCCAATTCCAAGATGCAAACCTTTTAAACTATGAGAAAGAAGTTATTATATATCCTTACTGCTGAAATACTAAATACTGATTTCTTTCTTTGATCATTGTTATTCATCTTAATAATGAGTTGGAATTAGTTGTGAAGCCTTAACTAGATTTGCACGTATGCATATTTCAAAAGGCTAGACTACTTCTCCACCGAATGTAATTTAGTTTAACTCTAAGCTCTTTCAAATAATTTCGCTTAAGTCTTGCTCTGTTATTTTCACTCCTCCCAACCACCCTTGCCACTATATTCTATGTTTTCGTGCTTTCAGAGTTAGATCTCATAAGCCATTGTTGTCAAAATTGCAGGCATTTATTCACCCAATGCTTATCATGGTTTTGTTCGCGAGTTCGTCAAGGATTTGGAAAGAATCAGGTGGGTTAGCTTGTTGTTGTGAGTCCTTTTAGGCAATGTTTCACTTTTTGGCATTGTAGTTTTCACAAAATCTAATCATGTAGGAGGTATATGAACAACATAAAGAGTTGATTTTACTTGGAGAGAGCGTTGTTCTTGCAACTCTTGCTTTTGATCTTAATTTAAACCATCCATATAAACCGCTGGTTGAGGCAATAAAGAAATTCAAAGTAGCTCAAAATGCCCTTGCTCAAGTTGCATGGAATTTTGTTAATGACGGGTATGGTTCTCTTAGTTCATATATCTTGCTTGTTTTTCTTGGTCTTTCTTCAATTTCTTCTTGAACTAGGAATGTGGCATGCAGACTTACTATGCATTTGTCTTGATTTGGAAATGGTTGATGCCATCACTGTTATATGATATTTTGCAATACCATTTAAGCTTTAGTTCAGTGAAATTTTATATAGGTTCTGCATTGCAGTTTTGCACAGACTACATTGCAGTTTCCGAAACTGCATTGCAGTCTTGGTAATTACAATTGAATTTTTGCTCTTTCCTTGGCCTTCAACCTCACCAATTTAAAGAGTAAAGGCTACTCAAATGAGGAATTGGGTGAGCAAGAGAAGATGGAAACTGCATTGCAAAAAATGGAAACTGCAACGCAGAAAACAGAAACTGCATTGTAGAAAACAGAAACTGCATAGCATAAAACAAAAACTGCATTGCATAAAACGGAAACTGCAATGCAGAAAATGGAACGTGCAATGCAGAAAACAGAAACATGAATAACCTATTTTACATTCTAGGTGGTCTTCAGTCCAATTCCCCCTCTCCCAACATGTCTTGAATAATAAAAAATATTGTTTTGTTTTGTTTAACTCTAGAGTTGAGCATTTTTGCCCAGACTCAGCATTGCAGCCATTTTTGTATTGCAGTTTCTGCTTCTGCATTGTAGTTTCCGTTTCTACATCGCAGTTTCTATTTTAGTACTTTCATCTTGGTTCCTCCATTTTGCTTCTAATAAAATTAATTTTTGTTTTTCTTGCTGTTTTTGTTTTCCTTTTTCTTTTTTTCTTTTTACATAATTGATATCTACATTGTATTTTTGTTGCAGTTTCTGCTTTTATTTGCAATTTTTGTGTAAATATGTGGTGAAATGATTTTTTTTTTTTTAAAAAAAAATCATTGATTGTTTATATAAATATTGTATAACTGAATAAAAATTACAAAATCAAGTTTGGTGTAGTGGTTTGTGAGTGAGTCCTCCTCCTTTGAGGGTCAAGGTTTGAGTCTGTTCAATGACACAAAATCTTTTCCTTTAAAGGAGAATAAAGGGCAACAGAGTTGGTCCCCTGCAGACGGTGGTAGGCCGGTAATGGGCAGTGGCAGAGGGTGGCTGGCGGCCGCTGGGCGGCGGGCTGCCGACAGTGGGCATCCAGAGGTGATCGACGATGGCGTCCGATGGTGGTGCCAACGGGTGGCTGGCTGGCTGGCGGTAGCGCTTGGTTGGATGTGGACATGTGGCATAATATGCTTGCCTTAGAAAGAATGGCATTGTGTGTAATTTTGATATTTTTTAATGATATTTTTGTAAAATTAGGTACTACATTTTGGTCTTTGGCCTTATTCTAATTAGATGAAATTAAACTCCAATATTCGAAATTAGTAAACTATATTGTGTTTTAGAACTAAACCTCCCTAATAATTAACTAGCACTAGTATGATCTGTTGTTTGTCTTGTGCAGGGTTACACAAGGAAACTAAGATGGCAGTAGAATCTGTGCTTACTTTTGTGAAAGAGGGAATACTAACGAAGTTGACTAATCTTGCAGCTCAAGAATTCCGTATGGCTTGGGGATTCAAACCTGAACTAAGGAAGCTCAGTCAATCGTCATCCATCTTTCAAGATTTCTTAGGAGATGCTGCTTTGAAGCCACAAGATGGGGGCAAGGCAATGGAAGACTGGGTGAAGAAACTTAAAGACATAGTTGATGAGGCTGATGATGTCTTGGAAGAAATCAACTAGGAATTTCTCCGGAGACGAGTAGAACTGCATAACCATATGGGAAAAAAGGTGCTCAACTTCCTTGCTGCCTCCAATCCCATCTTGTTTTGACTAAAAATGGCACATAGAATTAGAAAAATTAGCGTCTCTGGCAGAGCTCAAGAGCGAAGCATCTTACATCGGATTAATTGCAAAAAAAAAAAAAAAAAAAAAAAAAAAAAAAAAGAAGAAAAAAGAAGAAGATGCAATGTGTGTATCAAACACTTTCGACGTCAATTCAATTTTAACTGCGATGTTAGAATTACTCTCAGGAAATGTACGGACATGTCAGCAAGCATCGACTACAAACCTCCGAGAAGAGTTGTCGGGAAAAAGGTATTTTCTTGTACTTGATGATGTTTGGGAGTCTGAGAAATGGGAAAGTTTGATTTGTTGTTTGTCAAAGTTGAATTCTGCTCCAAGAAGCGAAATTATTGTCACTACCCGCAGTGGCAAAGTTGCATCACTCACAGAAACACTTCCGCCACTATGCCAAATTTCACTTTACACAACACCACATAGGCATCGGTGAAACGAAATACCGATGTTATTAGTATAGTAGGCATCGGTTTTATAAATAATAAGACTAAAAGTATATAAAGGCATCAACACAAATATTTGGTTTTTCCTACCGATGCCATTGATTATATTTAGAGGTGGCAATTTCCTCCACGACCCGTTACACGACTCGAAAATCGCACGGAAAAAACACAATTCGAACCTGCACGATTAATAGTTGGATAATTTTCGAGTCAACCCTTTTTGACCCGTTTATTAAACGGGTAGGTTTCGGGTCAACCGCTAACCCGTTAAAACACATGTGTAACCCGTTTATTAAACGGGTAGTGTCACGGGTCATGTCAACCCGTGTAAGACATGCCAACCAGCAAAAAAATATAGAGCAATAAAGACTTCAAAACACACATATGGGGTTTCGAACCCCCATCATCCTCATTACTCTCCAACACCTTATTCACCGTGCTAGATACAACTTTGTGATTATATACTATGCCTTTTGATATTTATAATGTTTCTTTTTCTTCTTTTGTTTTCTTCTCCTCTTTTTTTTTTTTTTTTTTTTTTTTCTTTTTCTTTTTTCTCCTCTTTTTTTTCCCTTTTTTTTGTTTTTTTCTCCTCTCTTTTTTTTTTTTTTTTTTTTTC